TTTTTTTTTAAAAAAAAACCAACCTACTTTTACATATCGTCCTCTTAATGCTCTGCCTTTTATATTATGAACCTTGATATGGCTTTGTGACTAATCAACAAGAAACTGTTCTAATATATGCATGACAAAAAAAATAGTTTTATTAAAAGCTAAAAATTGGGACTTGGTAGGACCCAAATTATAACACAACACTTTTCATTGCTTTTTTCAGATCAGTAACAGAATTGCTTCAGGGTCTCTGAGTGATAAAAGTCAATTCCCTTTTTTCCATCCGATGCTCCCCACAGAAGGGTTCCAGTACCCAGCAATTGACCAGCTGCTCCTCCAGTTTGAATGGACCCTGATTGGTCTCTTTGCTCCGGACACAGAGAAGGGAGAGCATTTCATGGCAACTTTTACTCCTATGCTTGTCAAGAATAGAATTTGTGTTGTTATATCACAACTATTTTCAGCGACTGGAAATACAGCAGCCCTCAGGGATTCCCTCTCTCAGTGGAAACAAGTCAATGCCTTTGTTCACTTCGTAGAATTTGAGTCCATTTTTGACAGAATTCTTCCTTTCCATTTAACACTTAGGCATTTGCCAGGGCCCATTGAAGGGAAAGTCTGGATCATGACAATGGTTGGAGTATATTACATGGGAAAGGACAGGCATTTCAAGTATATCCATAGTATTTGGAGCTTTCCTCCTCAGTGGAAAAAAACTAGGCGAAAAGATGATGCCTATAAAACTCCTTTCTTTGTGGAACCAGAATATCAGGATGAGCATTTTCACTGTTCTGTTTCAAAGCATGCCTTTTCTGTCAAAGGCCGAAGAAGATGCACCCAGAAAGCACCAGTGGAGAACCAAGAGAAACCGAATATGATGCGGATCCCAAATGCCGGCACTGCTTACAGTGCCATTAAGATTCTGGCTCATGCCTTAAATTCAGCATCCAAGTCCAAGAGGAGAAGGAAAAAGGGAGAAGAGATGTTGGGGGCTCCAAGGCTGCACCCATGGGAGGTATGGGGGTCCCAACAAGGATCCATCAAACTAAATTCCTTTTCAGGATCTTTGGGGCTCTCTGAGCTTGGTTGTTTAAGATCTTAAGCTTCTGTACAACATCTTGTACTTATTGGAAGAGCCCAGCATCCTCCTTTCTACAAGTAATATGTTTTGTATATTTGAAAAAATATTCCCAGATTCCTTCTTATTTTAAGCTCCTGTAAAACAACATGGCTCTTCTCCTTGCTGTCTTTCCTCAAGGCTAAAAGTAGCTCCTTTGAGCTCTTCCTTCTTTGTCCTTGCGTAAAACTGATGAATATTTTGCTACAAGATGACCTTGAATAATTCTACTGGATCATTAATGACATTATTGTCAAATTAACAATATGGTTATTCTCATATCATTAAAAGATTACTACTGATTTATTATAGAATAGAATAGAATAGAATAGAATAGAATAGAATAAAAAATAGACTTGGAAGGAGTCTTAGAGGTCTTCTAGTCCAACCCCCTTTCCTAGGCAGGAAACCATACACCACTTCAGACAAATGGTTATCCAACATCTTCTTAAAAACTTCAAGTGTAGGAGCATTCACAACTTCTGGAGGCAAGTTGTTCCCCTGATTAGTTCTAACTGTCAGAAAATTTCTCCTCAATTTTAAGTTGCTTCTCTCCTTGATTAGTTTCCACCCAATCCTCAGATGCTTTGGAGAATAGTTGGATTATATTGGAATAGTTGGAATAGTTCTTTGAAGCAACCCTTGAGATATTGGAACACTGCTATCATGTCTCCCCTAGTCCTTCTTTTCATTAAACTAAACATACCAAGTTCCAGCAACTATTCTTCATATGTTTTAGTCTCCAGTCCCCTAACTATTTTTGTTGCTCTTCTCTGCACTCTTTCTAGAGTTTCAACATCTTTTTTACATCATGGCAACCAAAACTGAATGCAATATTCCAAGTGTGGCCTTACCAAGGCATTATAAAGTAGTATCAACACTTCACATGATCTTGATTTTTTTTTAATAAATGTTTTTTAATTTTACTTTAAAACAGGTACACATCTCTCTTTACATCTGTAGAAAATGTAT